ATTTATTTCGAAACAAATTGCTTCAGAAAACAAAAATGATAAAAGCTGTTCTATCAAGTAAATATCAGGCGATCCTCACAGGTCGGTCTCCAGCACCAGAGATCTAGTCACCCTCTGTCCTCAGCCTCGTTTGTGGAACGACGAGCAAATCCCTGGACGAGGACGTCAGTGTCTGACGTTCGGTGTCGGAAGATCAGTGATGGATTCGAGTGCTGGTCGTAGATGTTTTAAGAAACAACTTCTCAAAATCAATTCTGCTTCAGACTTCACAACTCTGTGAGATGACAAAAATAGCTTGTGCTGTTTCTGAAATTGTCTGTGCAGTAGAATCGCTCTGTGTGCTCTGGGGGGGGGGGTTGGTAAAGTAGGTCTGTTTTGTTGTCATGTTATCATCTGCTGCTCTCTGTTTTAAATCACCACTGATTTCACTGAAGATGAGACGGCGTCCCCTCCTCCCTCCGTGTTACTGAGAATATGATCGAGGTCAGCGCTGGTTGTGATGCGCCTGGAGTTTCGTAATCATTTCTTTAGTTATAAGAGCAATTAACTGTAACCCAGATAAAGAAATGACGCCAGAGCAGCGGAGCCTGAAACCGGCTTCACTTGACAGCTCCTCCAGATTCTCTCATCTGACGCAAGACATGAGACAAGATATCAGAGCGTGGCAACAATCTGATCTGCGACTGGTTTCATCTTTCATTCAGCACAGAGCTGATATTTTATATCGTTGCCGAGGTAACATCACAATAATCTCTTAATAACAGCCTCAGACCATGAACATAATCTCATAAACCTTCAACTCCTGCTGAGAGTTCATTGATGAGAGATAATAGATTTCACTTCAACCTCAACAATCCCACAGCCGACGCTCGAATGTTTTCTCACGACAAAACACACCTCCCGCCTTCTTTTTCTACACTTGTCGTTCTTTTGTTTTCCACACGGAACATCTGTCTCAAGTGGTGTGATATCTTTAGACCCTGCGCTGGATTTCTTTTCATTCAGGAAAATTAAGACATTGCACCGAATGAAAACGTTCCCTCGTCTCAGGGGTCGTAATTAATGTACTCGTACACTTCATGGGTAAGAAGAAGTGACGTCGAATGTCAACGGAACACAAGTGGTGTCAGGATGTCACAGCTTCCTGCTTCAGTGTTCTCCGTCACACAACAGAATCTAAAAACTTTGATGATCCCTAAAGGGAAATATCTTTGTTGTGTTGGCACAACACACAGTTAGAAAATAGGAAGTCATATTAATAGTAACAAGCTTTATTTGTGCAGCAATTTTCAGAACAAAAAGTGTTAAACAAAAGATAAACACAAGAACAATTCATAAAACTAAGTAAGTAAAATAGTAAGAACATAAAAATATGTATTTACATGATAATAATAACGTTGATAAAGTATTTATAACCTCCAGGCCTCTTCAACATTTCAGGTCCAGGGTCCCGTCTTCTCTGGTAGTTCAGTCCACTGAGTGAAAGTCGGTATCGTCTCATCTCGTCTCATCTCGTCTCATCTCGTCTTCACCTGGAGCGACAAAGACAAATATAACAATGTCTGAATGTTCTAAAGTTTCAGTTTCAGAGAAAACAAGTGAAAAGCTCCTCTGAAGTGATGTTTGATCATTGTTGTCACTGTCTTTGGACTGAATCCAATCTCAAACCTTTTAGTGGGATAAAACAATAAATCACAGTTTTCAGAAACCTTTTATATTTAAATGAGTGTGTGTGTGTGTGTGTGTGTGTGTGTGTGTGTGTGTGTGTGTTTAAATATGATTACAGGTGAATCAGAGGTAATGACTAAGTGTCTCCACCAATAGAAATCTTCTTTTAGCTCAGATTAATCAGAGGAGATACAGTTAATTAAGATATTTTTAATCTTTTGAAAGAGTAAAATATGTGACTGGTTTTAAAAGAGTCACATCTTCAAATGAAACGAAATCAACTCTTCAACGTCTCGAACCTTTGAAGAAGAAGTGAGGGTGAAACACACGTCCCTACATTATTCACCCTCCACCTCACTACAAGTAAAACACGATGACATCATCACCGTCACATAGATAATTTAATACCTACACACTAAAAACCTGTTTTAAAGAACTCCAACAGAAGAAGTAAGGAATCCGAAAGAAATTCCACCTCTCAAATGTTTTCCTCACTCTTCAAAAATCCTTCCTCCAGGCACTGACATCACAACCCGAGCACGAGTCCTGACCTGAAGCTGGACGTCTCTGCTTTCTGTGAACTCTCCTCACAAGAACGTCAAAGTTAAACAAAAAGGATCTCTCTCTCTCTCTCTCTCTCTCTCTCTCTCTCTCTCTCTCTCTCTCTCTCTCTCTCTCTCTCTCTCTCTCTCTCTTCTCTGTCGTTTGAACCTGGAGGTCACAATGTGCAGCTACCTGCCATGGGCTCATCGGGGATATCAACACACACACACACACACACACCAGGCCTAATTTGTGTGTGACTCCTCAGTGGTTATTATCATGCTGAGATTTCATTGTCTTAATTAAGTTTTAGGCAGAAGGTTTGATGGGATTGAAAGATGTGAAATTGCCTCTCAAGAGTTCCTTCAGAGTGCTCTATCTGTGTGTGTGTGTGTGTGTCTGTGTGTGTGTGTGTGTGTGTGTGTGTGTGTGTCTGTGCCAAATCCTTCCCTGAAGTCTAGTTCTGATTAATTGAGCGGAAATCAGTATTTACATACATGAGCATCATCATTGGTAGTATGCTACCAACAGGCCTCACATTAAACTGGTCTGGGACCTTCCTCACTGAAATGATGGTGACGTGAATATTTATTCAAAGTATCAGAACAGATGAGGTTTCAGTCTAATCGGGGAAACAACAAGTGCAGACTAAAGATTTACTTCATCTACCATTGACCTCCATTCAAACCATGTGAAAATATGAAATTATCATGATTGTGTAAATGTGACTGTCAGTCTTCTGTGCTACGTACAATTATTCAGTTAACTCTTTTGTTGGAAATGAGTCAATGTTGCATTGATTAATAATGTTTTCCACAAGAAGCTGCTTATTCACACATCCAGCAGCCGTAGAACAGTATCGTTACTTTAGACTCATATTTTTAGCATTATTCTTTATGGTTAATATAAATCTCATATGCGATTCTGTTTTCTGTCTCCGCCGACTCCTGAGGGGAAACGTCTGGCTTCTTAGCTGCTAAATGCTCCGCTACATGTTCGCCAGCTATTCTCTCACTGTGTGCTGCCGGGCAGCAGGCGCTGCACAGTCACTTTGTCCTGAGAACTGATGCCTGCTGGGGCTGAAAACAATGCTATGAAAGCTGTAAAGTTATGGAGCGTACAGCGAAAACAATGAGGCGTGGGACAGATTCAGGTGACAAATGTCTGCGGCCTCTTTCACACTGAAACATTGTTTTCACGTCGGCCATTTTCCATTGTTCATTCAGGTATTGATTATAGCACGCTGGCAGTTAAGGGAGGGTTTATTACGGTCAGGAGCACCAGGGCGACTTATATGTTCGTTGACAAGGCAATAAAAAGTAGTTCCCTTTTTTTTTTTTTATGTGACGTCCGTGTGCTAACTGACCTTTCCTTCCTCTCTGCTCTGGTGTGATTCCTCTGCAGGACTTAACCAAGCAGCTGGATGAGGTGACCCAGAACTCAGAGATTGTGGAAATCCGTCAGAAGGAAGCCGAGTGCGAACTGGAGGCAGCCAGAGACCGAGTTCAGCAGCAAGCCACCGAAATACTGCTCAAAGCCAGTAAGACTCGAACCTCCTCTCTTCTCAAAAACGCAATCAAATACTTGTGCTTCCCTCAAGACACATCCTGGGTTTGTCGTGCAAACACATCACTTCAGCTTCCCAGGCATCGTGGCCCGAAAACACTTTAATGGCCCGCTGCTGTATATTCACGCTCATGGTATCCCCCGTCCCCGAGAGGCAGGGGAAACATCTTCTCACATCAATTATGCCCAGTTTAAGGTTCATGTTTGTGTGCCCCCGCATCGGCTGAATCGTTGCATGTGAGGATCTGATTTAATATCTGCTGATGTCTCTCCGTCGGTACTTTGTGCAACAATATCGCATAAGCATTACTGTCGGAAATGTGTGAGCGATAGCAGCGACCCAGCGCAGAATTACGTTCGGCCCATTAGCTCCTATGAGCTCGTCGTGCCCCACGAGAATGTTCTATCGGTTTCCTCCGGAGCTGTTTGCATGTGAGAGACAAGTAACATCCAGCTGGTGGAGGAAGTTACGACTTTTACCACCACAGATCACGCATTCCCTATTTATTCCAACTTGAAGGGGAACAAATGTTGGTTTTTTCTGTTGCTTTCGGATTGTGTTTGCATCCTTGTCACGTCTCCTGTCATAGGTCAGATAAGCAGCCTGCAGGCCACCCAGATGACTCAGGAAGCGGCCATCAGGGACCTGGACAACGAGCGGAGCCGGCTGAAGGACAAGGTGCTGAGGATGGAAGAAGAGAGAGAGGCACTGCAGAGCCAGAGCCAGGCCCTGGACGAAAGACAGAAACAACAGATCCAGTCCCTGGAGAAGGTACGTGTGTTTGCTGCTGGTGTTTAATATGCACATCAGGCTGGAATAATGTGTCATGAATAGCCAATAAGTCATTAAGAAGCCGGGACTTAACTTTTCTGTGTACTTTGCTCCCGACCTGTTCAACAGTGTTAAAATACAAGAGCCTGCGAGAAATTCGTCCTTGCAGGAAAAAAAAAAGGAAAACATGCCACTCTAGACGTTCCAGAGAACTTCGGCGAGTAATGAGGCTGCAGGTTCCAGAGAGATATATATTAACATGGTTTTAATGGTTCACGGACGTTGGTCGATGCAGTTTGTGTCTCTGTGTCCTTCCTGTGTGACCTGAATGTAGAATCACGTTGTCATCGGTCGCTGCTGTCGTCGGTTTTTTCACCTCAAACTCCAAAGTAAACCCCACAGATCAGCTTTTTGCAGAGAGAAGCCCGAAAGCAAACAATCATTTGTTTGGACTCTGAAGTTATTCTCACACTGACTCGCCCGAAACTGAGAGGAGAAGAGATTTATCTCCTCAATTCTATTTTTTTTTTTTTTTTTTCGTTCTGCAACTCGGAGTTTTCTGTGACTTTACAGAGCCAGTAATCCCCCTCGAGTACTCGTGTGAGGTTTTGCCCGAAGCCAGTCTGATCTAAACGACTATTCGACTTGAATTATTGATATAATTCAGGGTTTTTTCGTAAAGAACACAAATATTTTGGTATGTGTCTATAATATAGAATATACATGTTGTCCCCCTCAGTCTGTCTCTCTTCTGTCTTCCTTCTGATCACATTAGATCTGGTTAGTTTTGGTTTCACATTGTAATTAAAGGACTAAAGAACTCGTCACTGACACTGTAGACGAGCGTGTGTCAGTTAGTCTTTGTGTTTGAGTGTAAAGTTAATGAACGGGTTCACTTCGTCATATCATTATGGTTTCACTACCGGCAAAATAAGCATCATATCATCAGAGGTGAAGATCCTGTGAGCGGATTCCACTTCTTTGTTTATTATTGTCTCAACTCAAAAAATCTCACTCGGCAAACGAACCAGACCATGATTCAGTTTGATCTGAGACGAGATCACATCTTTCGGTCTGTTCAAGGCTCCTCTCGCTCCTGGTTTATTGGTTCGGACTAAACTGAAAAAGTTTGAAGGTCCGAACCAAACAAGGTCGATGAGAAAGCTCCCTCAGAAGAAAATCAATCTTACGAGTGCAGCGAATTTAAAAAAAAAAAAAAAAATGCATCGTCTGCAAAAGAGTTTGACCCGTAATTGTCAAACAGTTTAAAGAGTCAAACCTGTCAATCACTGCTTTTACGAACTTTGAAGCGAGCCGCTCCTCATTTCAAAAACCAAGAAGCCTAAAGGTCAGATGATTTAAGGAACAGTGCAGTCAGCAGACCAAACCACAGCCGACGGTAAATGTCAAGTGTTGCTGCTTCATGTGTGTTTTCTCATCTATCTCTGACATTTGTGCAGTGTAATCCTCTGGGAGCCGGCATCAGTTCTCCCACCGAGAGCGGCTGCTGTGAATTTCAATGTCTTCCCGAGGATAATAGACGCCACTTAAACTTCACACCACCTTTCTGTTGCGTCTCCTGGAGCTCCACTGATTTCTGCTTTAAGCGGTTCATTGGCATTCGTCAGGTGAAACAATCGATTGGGGATTTCTAACCCTGTTACATTAAAAAAAAGAAAAGCAGGACTCCAGCAGAATGTGTTTTTCAAGTTTTTCGCACTTCGTAGTGATCTGATGACGTCCGTGGTCCGACCCAATTATAGAAAGTCGTGGAAGAGTCACCACATTAATGTGAGTCTTGGTTTTCCTTCTCTCTTAAAGTCACAATCGTCTTTTCCTTCATTGGCTCGTCTCTGCTCCTCGTCTTTGCTCCACAAAAGGACAGATTTACCTCCCAGGACGTTTTCAGGCCCAGTTTATTTGTGTCACAGTGCGGAGATGATGTTCCGCCCCCCCTCAGGTTTTTCTGGCCATATGATATCGCAGCAGTCTCGCTCAGTCCGACCGGTTTGATGGACGCTTCTTGGGGGATTTCCAGAACAGGCCTTGGTTTGGAGCAATGATTGCACACAAACACGACTGAGTCCCTGGTGGCATATTAATGTTTTTTCATGTCGTTGCCAGCGTCTGATAATGTGCCAGTGACATGCTGGTTCTGTTGTGAGTGGTGAAGCTAAACAGAAGACAAATAGTGCGTGTGTTTAGGCTGCGTTAATGAGCTGTGGTGATGAATCAGTGTCATCGGTTTCAGTAAATTTAGGTTTTCATGTCTTTAGTGTACATTTACAATCCTGCTGTGAAGATTCCAGGGGGGGAAAAAATGAGTTCAGCTCAGGTGATGAATGTAGTTATATAATATTCAGCAGCAGTTGCAGTAATAAAACTTAATCTTCTATCGCAGATTTCTAAAACATTTTGCGGTTTTTCAAACCACAACCTGAGATTTATTGTTTTTTGACATTTTTTCGTAGATGTCTCAGAAAATAAATCGTGATCTCGGTTAAAGAAATCTGGCGTGTTTAAGGGACTGATATTTATCCGTGTGTCTAATTTATCGATCCCTGATTCCAGATACTTTCTTTGACAGCGTTGCATTTGCTCAGTAAATCGGTTAATCCACATTCTCATAACAGGAACACGCTGTTTGAAGCAGAAATACAGAAAAGTATTTCAACTAAATCTGCTGCTGTTCTCGTCACTACAGAGCAAAACATATCCCTTAACTCCGTCTCTCCTGATGCTGAAGACAACACCAGCTCCATTTAGAACCATAATGACTGCGGGGTCATGTCTACGGGCTTCAAGCCTCCGTAATCAATAACCACATTATCATTAACCCCAGATGGAATGTGCCCCGGAGCTTTGTTCAGCAGCTCGGTTCTAGTGCTGCAGGAAAAACACATTTGAGTGTGAATTGGTGAGAAAATGGGAATATAGACAAAACAGCAGATACAGAGAGAGAGAGAGAGAGAGAGTGCAGTATTGATTCCTTGGCTGAATAATACAGCATATGGTGTAAATATCAGCTCTCCCTGTCTGTCAGTGTGTCATCTCACCTTCGAGCATATTTTAAACGTACGTGTGCGTGAGTGTTTGTTTTTCTGTGTTCGTCAGACCCTGCACGAGGAGAAGACGTCCCACGAGAGGGATATGAACCACATGCAAGCTCGACACGAGGAGGAGGGCAGCCAGATGAAGGAGAGCCAGACTCGAGCTGTGGAGGAAGTCGCTAAGAAGCACAGGGTGACCCTGGAAACGGCTCTGAACAACGCCGAGAAGGAAAAGAACCGCCTGCTGGCTGTGAGTACACATGCACGCAACGAGAGAGAGCAACATACAGAGAGGCTGGTGTCCCTGGTTTATCAACACATTCAAACCATTCCACCAAAAACAAAAACATCTGAATATGACGAACCAGACGAGGCAGATTAATCTACAGATTTCTGCATCTTGTGCAATCAGAGTTTTTATCGCTCGAAGCTGCAGGAAAGTGAGCAGCTGTATGTTTTAATTGAACCTGCATCGTGGAGCTCTGGGTTTATCTCAGGCCGTAAAGATGATGGAGCCCCTGGGTCGCTTGTTTTCTGCCGCTCACTGGAAAGATTTCTCCTCCTCTCAGACGCTAGTGGAGGTGAAGTAAATGTAGCACGAAGTTACTTCACGGCTAAAAGACGTCTTCGCTTTCGGATTCCTTCCCTTCTGGAGCTGTGACGTTCCCGGTTATCTCAAACCCAGCACGTGCGATGACCTCATGATGGAAATAATCCGTCACATCAGGTTGTTGTTGTAGAATAAAGGCTGAGTCATGCTGAATGTTAGATCCGTCCAAACTCTTTTCACTGAATCCACCTCTGTGTTCCTGCAGTTGGTTGGAATGAACGCTGATACGAACTCATATCGAACTGAAGCGGTGAGATATTCCAGGAGGACACAGTCAAAGTACAAGCTGTCCACTCCCTCAGTCTCTCTCTGCGCTCGTGGATTTGCCGTCTGCCAATAAATGTGTTGACCGTCTGTTTGTTATTAAACGAGCGGTGATTGTGAGTGGCAGATTTATTGTGGTGTCTGCATATGCTTTATTTTGATGGACAGCAGTGATATTGTGTGTTTGTCAAAGTATCTCGACTGTTGTCTAATGTTCAGGCTCAGTCATGCTCAGAGTTTATGGACGGAGAGGAGACACTTTTCGTTCACAAATGGAGCATTGATGAGAGAAGCCAGTCGCTCTCACACCCGTCCCCAAAGACACATAAGCTTGTTGAGGGACTTCAACAAGTAACCGGTCACAAGCCGGCGTCTCTGACCTTCGAGCTAATTCCACATTGTTCACTGACTGACTGCACCGTCTGCCACAACAGCCGGAGAAGCAGCTATTCACTCAATTTATTTTTTTTGCCTTGAGCTGAATTGTAGATTTATTGTGTCTCTAAAAGAGTTTGGTGCTCAGGAAATTTGGCAATGTCCTCATCACTGTTCACTTCTTCTCTCGTCAGAAAAACATTTTCAGTTCCTAGCTTTGCCTGTAAACATGGGGACATCCAATAAAGCCTCATAAAGGCGAAGTTAGATTATTATGCAGATTTTAATGACATTATTAAGGCAAACACATTCTTGTAGCCTCTTAATTAATTATAGACGTTAACATTTACTGTCTCTTAGACTCTGGGCAGTAAAATTCAGCCTTTAAATGTTACTAAAGACCATTTTGTGATGGAATTACACCTGCCATATGTGAGCAACTACA